TTTTTTTTTTTTTTAATTTTAATCAAGCATGATTTTTAATTTTTTTTTTTACAAATGTCTACTTTAGAAACAAAAACAATAAATGTGTAGTTAGGCATTTTAACAATTGCACAATTAATATCAGATGAAAACATCATTACCGATATAAATCATTCTGTTCAAACAATTAAAAATAAGATCACATTTAATTTAGTCAGTTTTCATAATGAAATACATAATAACATGTATTTATAAATTTGAATAAGGTTCAACGGCCTTTTCATTTATGCCAGTTTATACACCATAAAACCTCTGGTTTAGGTGTCACACTCAGAGAAGAGTGAAAGGCCTTTGGTTCATAGGCACCGCGAAATGTTGGAATTGAATCTCCCAACCCCCCAAATCACATAATGTAATATGCATTATTTTTTTATAATTTTGTTGATAACGAAAAGTAAAGTATGTTGCTTAGTGGTGAGTACCGGTAGCAAATGATCACGGTAGCACAATCTGGTCATTCTGTGTTTCGGAAGTGAATAACTTACTTGTTTTCAAAGTATTGCAATTGTTGATTATTATTCAGTAATGATTATAATAACGCACAAAAAATTAATTCTTTGAATTTTTATGAATTTGAAGTAATATTCAACTTAGTTTCATCGTAAACGAATGATTTCGGTCGAATGTAAATACTCGATACGATTCAATATCCGCCATGTTTTCATTTACACGTGGGCTCATTTAAATATGTTAATACGGTTCAGTGATCTCGTGGTGAATGCAACGCGTTACTGTAGAGATTCACCGATGTTGTAGCAAGATCTTTATGCTATTTTGACTGGGAAAACGTCATGATTTTTTTTTTTAATCCAAAAATTAGTTGTTTAAAAAAAAAACCTGAGCATTCAAAGAATAATTGTTCACAGAAATAACACAGCTCATTGTCGAAACGAAGCTTACGCATTCAGGCTATTCACAATAAACATCATACTCTTGAATAGGTGTCGATGACTACGGTAAAATATAAATTAGAATCTTTTAGGCGTCAGGAGTGAATGAAATATCCAAAATATTAAAAAGAAAACTGCCGAAAAAACACCGGGTGATTTCATGGTTCGTTGCAGACTACTCGACCGACCGTCCATACATGTGTTGTCACTGTACATCCGCCATGTTGAATCGCAGGAGATCGGCAAAATCTTCATTACAACTAACAGTTTAATGCTCACAACATAAAAAATACGAATATAATCATAGGCAACCTACTATTATATAATGAATAAATTGATTGATACAAATAAACAATAAATATTCAATTTTGCTGAAACTGGAGAACTTACCTTTGCAAACACGTTTCTTATGCCGCCTTCTTGAAGTTCTTGAAATCAAATAAAGTTACTAGTTCTTCTAGTAACTAGTGAATGAGACCACTGAGCCGAACAGAATACATGTATAAACAGTACTATAATAAATTGCACGCAATGGAGAAATCACGTGCCGTAATAACAGCAGTGTAACTCACAGATCTAATCTACTGTAAAATATTTTATTTCAGCTGGAATTATCATTCACTGAAAAGATTTTTTCTGGGTGTTTTGTATTGAATTTATTTTCATTGATTTTTGACAAGTTGACTGTAAAATATAAGAAAAGGGTATATTCGCTGGATTTTATTTTAACTGAAACATTCCTTCAGCGAAAATAGCAAAAAAATGTTGCAAGTAAAAATAAAGTATTTTACAGTAATTAATTTATTCTGAGCATGCGCAGACGTTCTGTCAATGTTGCCGGGAGAGGTAATTTTTGATGAAAATCGTGAAAAAGACCCACTTGGGATTTTCAGATCTGGAAAAAAAATTACGTGCATACTCAGCAGAGACTTGTTCATCAACCTGCCAAGTTTCACCGATATATGCTGTAGAATTTCTGAGAAAATGTTGGAGACGGAAAAATGGACATAACCTGAATTATAAAGTCCCCTTTTCAGGCTGCGCCTGAATGGGGACTAATAACAGATGTTAAAGAACAAACATTTTTGAGTGACACTAAGTTTTAAATATTTAAAGGAACATGGTGAATCCCAAGTAGAGCGAGGGAGGGAGGAAGGGAGGGATTTGGGTCTTACAACAACATTATCTTGTATAGGTAATTGCTAATGGATTACTATAGCCTAAAGATAATTGCTAACTGATCTGTGTTTTATCACCAACCATGCCAGCTATTTATGCACACAACACTATATTTGTTTCATCTTGTCATGTCATTTTTTTTTTCATTAGCTCGTTATGCTTTCATAACAAATAAATTTGTCAAAATTCACCACAATTCTTTCCAAAACCAATATGGAACTTGTTGATAGAAGTTCATGAAACTTACCCATCTAATCCCCAATCTGGACCCCATGAGTTCTTGACCATCCAGTATTTGAGCCCCTCAGCTGTCTCATTAAACCCAGTAGCTAATACAGCATGATTGACGTGTTCTGGGTCTATCTTGCAAACCGTACTGAGTAATAAGAATAAGAAAAATCAAAAAAGTAGAAATGAAAATAAAATTTGTCCAAAGGAATGAACCAATATACTATATGAACTTACCTGCTGTATACACCACTGTGATAGAGATGGAAATCTGAAGCAACATCATATGCAATGCTCACAGGACCATGTTTGTACACTGCATTCAAAATACCATCTTCATCTCCCTTGTAAGTAAAACATTAATACAGATAAATCAGACTTTTTTAATTATTTTTAGAGATGTATAACCAATATAATGCAAATAATGTAGTGATGTTTTATTTATATAAAATGACAAGAAAGTCAATTTGCATAAATTGACACACAGACAATTAAGAAACAAGTATATATGATAAACTAAAAATGAAATAAAATCTTTGAATTTGAGAACATTGTAACAAGGTTTATGCAAATTGAATAAATATTTAAACATACTAAATAGGTGATTTTCCGTACAATTGCGAGATGCATGAAAGACGCGCATCAAACGTCTGCCGCAAAAATCGAACGATTTGATTTTGAACTAGAATTTCTTTATTTCGTAGCTTACATTGACCGGCCGATCTTCGACAGAGGAATATTGCTTTCGAATACCCTTACTTAATCGAAATTGCCTATCATCAAATGTGGACAGCACATTAATAAGCATGGAAATGTCCCCAAAATACTTTCGCGTTTGTCGAATCCCACGCGATGTTTGACGCCACCATGACGCTATGACCTTTGTTTGTCCTGTTTTTACGTTCGATTTCACGCATAACGCGTGATTCTCGCAGTGAACGGAAAATGGTCTATTGGACAACACAACCTTATGGGATTTTGTGTCAAATTCAATTGATTAAATGGTAGGTAGTTGAAAACCAGTCAGTAAAGACATTCATTCTTGTGACAAACACAATTACAAATAAAAAGTAAGTTCAAAGTGGGCAATCTGTTTCCATGGCTACTAGTTAAACTCACCTTGGTGATATTAACAATCTTACTGACGAATGCAGCTGCCTTTGAGGGATCATATTTACATTTGCCATCCTGAAATATGCAACACATGAAAACATAGAAACAATATCTAAGCCTTGCCTGTATGAGATGTGCGAGGAAGGCTGTGTTTTACATCTGTGAAACAGATTTTGCTGTAAAACAAATGTTTGACAAGTAATGTAAAACAGACAGAAGTAATACACTGGCACACACTAACACTACACTGGCGTGCACACACCGACCCCTACACTACACTAACACTACACTGGCGCGCACACATCGACCCCTACACTACACTAACACTACACTGGCGCGCACACACCGACCCCTACACTACACTAACACTACACTGGCGCGCACACACCGACCCCTACACTACACTAACACTACACTGGCGCGCACACACCGACCCCTACACTACACTAACACTACACTGGCGCGCACACACCGACCCCTACACTACACTAACATTACACTAGCGCACACCGACCCCTACACTAACACTAGCGCACACGCACACCGACCCCTACAATAACACTAGCGCGCACACACACCGACCCCTACAATAACACTAGCGCGCACACACACCGACCCCTACACTAGCGC